AAAGACACCCAGACACACACGTGTGTAATTAAAATTGACATTTGTCAATATGATATTTGAAATTTGACAAATTACAAAGTGCTAAAGAATACAAATTATTGGCCTTAAGTTTTCAGACATCCAGTCGCATTTTACAGCTTGAGAAAGGGCCCCGATCACAGGCCTATCGTTATCTTGACTGCCATTCATCAAGACAAAATGACCAATTTTCCCCAGTAAGTCGTCGGTGGCCTGTTAAACTAGGCCAATGAGCTGTGTTATACTTCCTTTCCTCCCTCCTTCATCACTGCTGGCCTAACATTGCTTCCCTGAAATCATCAGAGTATAGCCCCAAATCTTAAAAGTCAGAGCCCATTCTTCAAATGTATTGCATTTCAGAGGGTGTTTTTTACTGCAGGAGTCTTTAGGCCAGCAGAGTATCAGAGGAGGTGTAATTGAGGGGGCGGTGAGGGGATAGAGTAGCGGTCCGCCTGAAAGCTGCTATTAAAGCCAAATGGACTGAACACCGTAAAACGGCTCTGCCAACAGCTGTCCCACAATCGGAGTATTATATGCCAGGATCCTCAAGCACGCACCACACACACATTAGGCCATGCTGCTGATGTAGTGGCTACTTAGAAGTATTAGACAGCAAAGCCGAGAAAAGAAAATACCAACGAATAACCACTAGAATATTCCGCTAATATACGTATTATATTCCTATAGGGACTCCAGCCTAGTTGTGTTTCCTCGTGATTTTGGTCTCTAAAGGCATTTTTCACCTCTCTACAAGCCTTGCTCTTCTTATAATAACCTGGGGAATTGCAATTTTGCTGGGATAGCCGATTTGCTTTGCATATTTCCACACATTATGGTTATGATAGTCCTTTTTCATAGGAGCCCCAAGACAGGTGAGAGCAAAGGCAGAAGAATTGCGGGTCATCTTATATGTGACTTCTGTGTGTGTGCGCAAGTAGAGGAAGCTCAGGATATCATTACACAAGTTTTTATTTTTAATGGCATGGACTCCATAATGGTGTTTCCTGCAGTTGTGCATAATATAAATATATATTACGTGTGATATCTCGCACATCAAATGATTCACATCATTAAACAGATAGAAATTAAAGTATATATTTGCATGTTTCTGTGGGGAATCGTATAAGTCTTAAGAGGCCCAGTACCCCACTTGGTGCAACACCTGTGCCCAGACCCGCATCTTTCAGGAGAGCTTCACTTTCCTTGCCCTGCAGAATAAAGCCCGGTCCGAAATGTGATGTCTGTGGCCCCAAGTGTTGTCTCAGACTGCGAGTCCTTATTAGAATAGAGAAGGAGAGAGGCGATTGAAGAGGAGTTGTTTCCACTGGATTAAATGGTTTCTCTGCAAGTCAATGAATATGTAATGATGTCTAACGAAACCGGCCAGTGAGTTCTGTGCTCTGGTATACAGACCCTATATTAAAGACCTCTTCTGCTCAGGAAGAACACAGTATAGAGCCGGGCAGAGAAAAGAGGGGCAGAATAGGGGAAGGGAAGAAGGGATACAATCTTGAATGCACCTCCAAGCTTAAGCCAGACATTCTCTTCCAGTCAATAGATGAAAAAGTATTTGCTCACGTACTGAGAGAGAGGGGTTGGTTGGGTCTTTTTTGAGGCAAGGGTGGGGGGTGAATTTAAATTTTTTTTAAACTGCTTTGGAAATATTGTTTCTGATAAGCAGTCATGCCAATAAAGTAATTGAATTGAGTTGATAGAGAAGGGGCGAGAGGGAGAGAAAGAGAGTTCCTCCACCATGATTGTTAAAGACATTTTTCCCTTAGTATACCCGATAAAACATTGATTGTTGCAGTTAGTTGACCCGTAAAATTTGGGGGTTAGTTTTCTCTTCTGAGCTGAGCATATAATTATGCAAATAGTGATCTGACAGTGATCCGCTGGAGGAGTGCTGAAGGAGAGAGAGTGAGTGTGTGTTGTGTGTGTGTGTGTGTGTGTGTGTGTGTTGTGTGTGTGTGTGAGGGGGGCTGTCAGAGGGGTGACATTCCAACTTTGCCTAATGCCTGGTTCCTTTGGAAAGAGTTCATCTTCTGCACGGATGGCGTGCATATCAGAGTGGGCCGAAGCAAGCAAGCGTGACAACGACTCTCTTAAAGTAAAAATTGAAATATCAGGCTGTGGCAGCACTGGGGTTCCCCAACTTTTTCATGTCAAGTACCCCACCCAAACCCACCCACTCCTCCCAGTATCTAACATTACAGCACAGACCCCCCAGTTGGCAGCATTTCATCCTAAAGCTCCGCAGCTGATGTTATTTTCTGTAGAAGATATGATTCAGTGTGGAGCTGTCTGTAACTGTCTGTACCGTGAGCTCACGACAATAGCTGGGAGAGTGAAACCTATAATCAAATCAGTCATACCTATTATACATTCACACACTGACTTCAAGCGAGTAAAAGGACAAACGAGTCACACTATCTGTCGTTTGGTTTGGGGATCCCTCCATGGAGGGTCCCGGGAACTTTTAGGAACCGCTGAGGGAGCCTGTGAAGCAGCCCCGCACAGACATGAAGAGATCATCGCTTTTTTTTCTTCTTTTTTTGGAACTTACAGCTGCATGTGACAATGAAGCACGAGTGATCAATCTGAAGTGAATCACTTCAGGATAAACGGGATATGGTTTCTATTTATCCAAATGCTGAGAAACAAGATCACAGATGCCCACACTTTAACTAAGACTCAAAAACTTTTAAGGCAAAAGTTTCCTTTTGCATCGGAACGGGGGTGTATATTGAATGATATATCCTTAAAGTTACTTTACACAACTTTTAATGTTGCCATATCATCTGTAAAACATACTTACTAGATAGTGAACACGTCTCAAGGCATATAATAATTCCTGGCCGAATATTATAATAATATAATAATTTATTTCGCTGTGTATTAGTCGTCTGCCTTTGATGATCACTGACTGGAGGTCATAATTTATGGAACCACTACACCACTGCGTTGGACAGAAGGCAGGTTATTTAATTAAACTTAGAAAATTCTCGCTAATACAAGAATAGATTATTTTTTTCTCAACATCACAGGAGGAAGTTAGGCAGTCTTGTCCTTAGGAAGTTCTAAACACATTTTTAAGACAGGAACTCTAATTCACATGTGTGTGTGTGTGTGTGATTGAATGCTTCTCTTTAATCAGCGGCCTGACACGGTGTGAGGGGGACTCGCCTGGTTCCACTTGTTGTTCAGGGGTTAATGGAAAAGATTTCTAAAGATTTATTGAGGGGGCGTTTAATGACCTGATCGGTTTCACCGTGTGAAAACAAATGATGCTGTAAAACCTCGCTGAGCTGGAGGGGGGGCTCACTTTGCCAAAATTAATGACCAAAAAGAGGGGAATTACTGTTTATAGTTTGTTTTCCTTTTGACACACTTCTTTCTGATGATATAATCAGTTTAAAGATATTGCTCTCTTTCACAGCAGCCCGACCTGAAGGACATGTTTTGAATGTTCAGCCCTTAAAAGTTTTATCTACCGCTTAACTTAAAAAAAAAGCAACCCTAAAAATAAAAGTCGTGGTTTTGGAGTGTTTAGAAAGACGACAAAAGCCATTTAACACTGGGCGATTTGGTGGCAGCAAATGAATGTTAGTTGGTCTTCCTTCTCGGTTGGATTTCATAGATGTCACATGAGATGATGACTCAGGTCATTTTTCACTTGGAGCTCGACTTTCTCGTCCCTGCTGCTCCCACTTGACACTGTCGGGCACATCTCCATGTCTCTCTTTGCAATCGCACCTGACTTTCTAGTGCTGCTGTGTAATTTTCCACATGTTCCTGTGCGCCATTCTGCACCGGCAATCAATAAAATACAGACGATTAGCAGGAAAAACACAAGGAAATGAATAAATACAATAACAAAACGAAAAAAAAAAATAAAGTAAACAAAAATGAGCAATAATGAAATAGGAAAATATGTGTAGTTTATAAAGCAAGATGCAAAAGTTCACTTTATTTGCTTTCGACAGGTTTTAAAGGTCAATTACAAAAATGAAATCAATCATGTAAAAGTAGAGCAATTAATGTGTTGCAGAAACGTTAAAATAAATTTTAAAGACAGCTGATTAAAACCAAAATGGATCAAAAGAAACTGAGACAGACGTTTGAGAGTATATGAAAAATATGTGACCTGGCAGGACACTCGCGGTTTCATAAAATCCAAAGTCTTATACTGCGATAAAACAAAATAGGCGTGTTCCTTAAACCAACACAACACATAAACCATCTGCAAAAAATAATGTCTTCAAGAGCAATTGGCAAAATTAGTCCCCTTTTATTTGCAGACTGTGCTTTGGATTTAGGCTGCTCTTACATCTTTAGTTCCATTCACATATGGCTTGCTGGATATTATTAAAAACAGTGAACAGAGTCTTGTTTATTCCTAAGGCAACAATATACAAATTATGGAGTGAAAAATGAACTGATTGTAGCTGAAAAGCAGAAAGATGAGCAATGGTATCTTGAAACGAAACTCATCAAATCAAATAATAAGCCAACTTCTTTGCTCAAACCTGGAGAGATCTGAATCAAATTAAAAGGAAATTAGGCCTGCAACCATGAGCCACAGTTGTCTCATTACAGTGGAAAGATAATCCACAAAAGCCTTAAACCATACACACAGTAGAGGAGAGGAGAGGCAGGATTTCACAGTGTGAAAGTTAAACAATGGTAACTATTTGAAGTTTAAAAATGTGTCTAAGGTATCATAAGATTTAGTATCCGGTTTGAGTTTTTTACTAATGTCATGACACATTAGAGATGTATTCCATTAAGCCTTATGTGGTTTATAAAACACACCAGCCTTGTGGAAAAAATTTTATCATGTTTGTGTCACATAGTCAGATTATGTGCAGCTGAGCAGGGAGCTGACTTTGTCACTTCTAAGTACACAAGAAGTACTTTGGTGGAAGGAAAAAAGGGGAAAGAATAGATATGTTACATTTCTCCAACATCTAAGGAAATATCATTCAGGCTTAGAATAATATTGAAATCTTGAATTTCCTGACATGTGTAAGGCGATATATTGAGGCTTTATGAGTGTTGTGAGCTGACTTCTGGCTCCTGTTAAAATGAGATATCCCTCAAACCCAGTCTGATGCTTGACTTTAAGTAATTTTAAATATGCTCAGTGTCCTGAATTTTCCATATTCAGCACAGGTTGTGTTTGTTTTATTTGTTTCATCACATTCAATCATCCAGAGACATCAATTTCAAGGATATCAAACTGAAAAAAAAAAAAAAGATATATATATTCATAATAAACACAGAGAGATGGACTCTGCACAATTTTGTAAATCAAACATAGATCTATTCTAAAGTAAACACTTACAGCTCTGAGAAGTATTGGCTTCATATTAAAAATCAAATAGTGTGAATCTGTGTATGAAACATTGCATTTAAATTTAGCTCAAAGTTGAGAAATTAAAAAAAAGTTAACTGTTATTATAAGCACTACAATCCCAGAAATATGTGGCAATGGTTAGGACCACCTTTCACACAAAGCTGAATGAGAAAAGTCAGGTTTAAAAGCTGACTGCATGTGCGGAGGAGTTACAGAATGAAGAAGTCATAAAAACAACACCCTCTGTTAAAACAAAACAAATGGTCTCCAGTTAAGAGTGCGTGTTCACTCTTGTTAAAAACATTTGTGGTGAGTAAAGACTTTAAAAAAATGTAAAAAATGATCAGGTTGAAATAACGAGCCTTAGCAGGAGATACCATACAGCAATGAGCTGATTTTGGGGGGAGGGGGGGTAAGCAGCTCAGGCTTTAGGACTGGTGGGGAAGAGGGAGAGGAGGGAGAGACTGAGCAGTGCAGACTGGAGGGCAGGCGGGGCATTAGCTCAGTTCAGGCTGATGTCAGGACAATTAGAGGTGCACCACAGCGCATTGTGCACAGCGCCTGTCAGCCTTAATCTCTGCTGCCGTGGCCCGTACCCGCAGTCAGGCCACAGCCCACGGGAAGCGCTAACACTCGGGCCCATATTGCTTTGACAGTTGCACTCATCTAGAAGTAATGCAAAACGTTATTGTGATGTATACACGGTGACCCTGTACTCTTGTCTCTTACAACAACAAGGCTGTGTGTGTGCAGAGCCAGGGAGGACTGGAAGGGAGAAATGACACTCAGGGAGAGGAGTGAGGAAAGAAAGATGGAGGGAGAGGGATAAAAAAAAAAAAAAGGGTCTGGAAACTTAGCCTCCTTTTCTGCAGTGCCCCCTCTGATCCCTTGCCACCCTGCTCCCTCTCCTCTTTTTCCCAAGTCATTTTTATTGGTCTTTTACAAATCTTGGTGTTTGCTTTTGAGGGAGCTGCTGCGTGTGGTGACAGTGTTGGAAGTCTCCTCAGCCTCCTCGTCCTCTTTCACCTCCAGGACCTCGCTGAAGAACCTGAAGATGGAGTTGAAACTCATCCAGGAGGTCAGCTCATGCCTCTCTGTGCCTACATGTAAAAGACACACAGACAGAAACATTAGCAGGGTTCACAAAAAAATTGTAAAGCTACAGGCAACGAAAATGTATGTAAATATTCTAACATTGTTAAAAATTAAGCTCTGCATTCTATTCTCTCTCTGTGGCACAAAATGTGAAAATAAATGAACATCATTAGAGAAGATGCTTGGTTTTGAAATGCTGTCTACTGCCGCAATGCATTGCATCGCTCCATGCAAACCCAGGGCCTTATGCATGAGAGCCATGACAGCCTATGACCTATTAGTCCAATGGGACAGCCTTAATATGTTATCCAAGCGGATACCTGATAATCAACACCACTGCACGTCCCGCTTTCCATCTCAGGCCTTCCAACAAAACCAGAGTTATGCACAATGGGCGCACTAAGCGAAACCAGTGGAGCGGTAGTCATTCATTCTAAAGGGCTGATTGAGGATATGCAGGACAGAAGCTGTAGAGAGGTAACTAGTGGGCATATCAAGTGGTCTAGTGGTGGCGGGGGGGGAGGCAGCAGTGCTGGGTTTCCCTCTGACCTCCCCCAGGTTAGCCAGTTCCCAAGTTGGGGTCACACTGGAGCTTGAAATCTGGTACATGCGCCTCAGGTTCCTGTTCGCCTCAGGGGTTAGGGTATCACTAGGCAGTTTTTTAGTTGGATAGCTTGCAAACTTGATGGTAGTTCCTATGTTTCTCTTGCGCCAGCTAGTCCTGCTACAGAACACCTCGGCTCGGGAGTGCTGACGATGAGGACAGATCGTGGCTGCAGCTGTTTCCCGACTCGTCTGTACTCCTGCTTGCTAACCATTCAGCGAGAGCACTAACAGATAATGGCTTGTTTCTGCTGCCGCTGGCTAGCAGCTCAGCTGCTTAGCAACACATCTGTAACTGGACTTGAGAAGCCACACTGAGGTGCCCTCTTGTTTCCGAGAGGGAGAATAGGTTTGCAGTGAGATGATATTAAGAGTTTCATCCCTTGATAGATAGATCTAAGAAAAATGTACATGTGTTTACAGACAGAGGCATGAGTGAATACAAGCCTTGAAGTAATGAGTTTTCTTTTTTGCTTATTTGCACACTTAAAATGTTTTTTTCTTTGGGACCTGCATTTGTTTTTAAGATAAGAAAATTAAAATGGCTCCCTACAATTTTCTCTGGAGGATTACAAAAAAGGATAAGCTCAGTATCTGAAATCAGTTAGGGTAGTATTAAAACAACTGGTCCCAGCAGAAAAGGGTTGAAAACCACGACCCTTCTGGATGAGTCAAATCAGTAGTGCATTAAAAATATCTCTGCTCCTCTCTCCAGCGCCTTTCTCCTTCTTTCCTTGCTTCCGCCCGGCTCCTCTGTGTACATGCGATCGGCTATAAAAAGCTAGACTAGAAGGCCGCAGGGATACAATTAGGAAGCACCTTAAAGGCTCTCTCACCATAGACAGGCCTCTGATGACCACTGCACTGACCCCATGTTTATTAGATTGACCCTGTACCTGGACGCATTAATGGAGATGGTGTGCGTGCATGTGTGTGTTTGTTAGACTGGGGGTAACTGCGGGGTCTTTGCTAGTGGTGTGTTTTGTTTGTGTGTGTGTGTAATTTGTGTGTACGAGTATGTAAGGGGGTTCTCGATCACTCTGAGATAAGGGACTGCGCTGCACGCTCTATAGCTAGCAGACTGCGGTTAGTGCCTTGGGTCAAATTTACTGGCCTAGCAATCATGGGAGTCAATAACCCAGCACTCTCAGTGACTCTGCTACCTGTGTAAGGCTCAACATAACATCCATCCCTGGAAAACAAAGACACGGCCCTCTCACACCTCTAATCTATCATTTATATCCAATTTGAAGCACTGTGATCTTTTTTCCACCTCCTCCTCCATTTTCCCCCGTCTCATCGGTCTCTCCCTCACTAGTGTTTTTACTTCTGTTTTGTCCTTTTTTTCTCCTGCAGAAGCGATCAATGCCGCAGTGCTCTCTCATTCACCCTGAACTGGCGGTGAACTCCTCCGGAACGCCGCCAGCCTCTCCACCCTATCCCATCGCAGTTCGGGGTCACCAGAGGGGCGTCTCTGTGCCAATATGCAGATGAGTCTGTGCCCCTCCAGTGACTCTGGTGTGAAGCTCCACCTCCTCTATATGGTGGATCCCC